CATATGTATTGCATATCCCTGTGCATAGTGACTAAATACCTGGAAATAATTGTTATGTACATATCACATTGCATGTTTGTTTACAGTTGCCATGTAGGAAGAAGCTTTTTATTGCTTTTAGTCTATGTTCCTCCTATTTTTGGATTTTTTTATTCTGAATATAAGTAATTAAACTTCTTAAGTAGTAACTTTTATATTTAAAAGTATTTTTTCAGATTTGTTTTCTGTTTTTTCTTTTTTCTAATGTACTTTACAATGTTTTTAATGTTCCTAACCTCCCTTTGCTATTCTTCTAGATGTAAGATGCTTTTTTAGGTAAAAATCCCCTAATTCCACATGCAGGAATACCTGGGGACTTATGAAGCCGTCTGAACTGAACTTCTAGGCATTTAGGCATGTAGGACTAGTCTACTGCTGGCTGCATTCTCCTTTTCAAGCTCACTTTTTGTTTCATGTTTTGTTTCCTGGATCCTACAATTGTACTTCATTTGGATTTTCAGTCTGATTTTAGCAAAATCAGATGTATTTTTAAGCATTCCTTTTGTTGTTTGGAAATAAGAATCTTTTCATTCTATGTGGAAATTACATTGCTGTCCTGCAGAGAAGAGCAGTGTTAGTCTTGAGTCAGTCTGATGTGAGGCAGGGTTGCAGATTTCTGGACATTATTCACCATTTACAATTTTGTGAACATTTTTCACCTAGTTGATCTGTGTTTGATTTATGTGTTATTCGGTCTCTGACCAAATCAAAAATGCTTTGGTTATGCAGTTGCATCATTGTCAGATAATATTAATAGAGAGGATTTTAGACTACCAACTGAATGGTTCTGTTAATGTATTTATTATACCATACATTTATTTATTTTCTTTCTTTTTTTTTCTTTTTTCTTTTAATAGAACAGGTACTGCTCACCTGTGTGAGCTACAGAGGATCTTAGGTTGCTGTTAAAAAGGATATATTTTTTTCATTTATATTTATGCAGTGCTGGAATAAATTGCTGGATTGATAGTCATACAAATTTAAATAAATTGTCTATTAGTTGAAGGAAAATACAGGGAAGTTTATGTGTCCCTATTACCTCATAGTGGCTCTGCAGAGAGATACCTTAACACTGAGTCAGTGTAGATTCATCCTAATTGAATAAGGTACTTGAGGTGAGAGTATAACCTTCTTAGTCTCCATGCGTAGCTGAAGATGAGACACAGGCTGCTATGGTGAACAATTCAGATCTCAGTTGACCTTAATTGCTTTAATTGCCTAGAGAAAACCATCATGGTCTTTTCTGTTTCTCTGTAGAGACTCAGTAGTGACTGTACACTTGGGTACACACTAAGTTTCTCAGCAGAAGTTAGAGAAGTAATAACTCTTACTCCTACTGTAACCAGCCTTCCCAGGATTATAATCTGCTCTGGCAGCTTTCAAATTATTTATTCTCCAGCTGTCCACATCCCTGTTTTCTGCTCTTTGTTTCACTTCTGCTTCATCCACTTAAGAGGCACAGAACTGTAATATGTTACACGTTGAGAGGGACCTCAAGAGGGCTCTAGTCCAATGCTGTGCTCTAATTAGCATAAACTATAAGATCAAGCAGGCTGTCCAGGACTTTAGCTCCTTCACTCTTGAAACTCGCCAAGGACCCAGACTATATGGGCAGCCTCTTCTGCTGCTTAGCTGCTCTCAGCATGAAAACGTTCTCCATATGTCAAATCAGAACCACCCCTGATTAATTTTGTGAACATTGTCTCTCTTAATTTATATTCTTTTTGTTTGTCATGCATCTTTTAAAAATCATGGCTCTGTTATTTGGTAATCTCTTCTAAGTAGCTGGAAGACTTTTGCTAGGCACACCCAAAATCTTCTCTTTTTCAATTTGAGCAAGCCCAGCTCCTCCAGCTTCTCACAGGGCAGAGATCTGTTCCCCAGCCAACTCAGCGACACACTACTGGACTCAGCCAGGTTCACTTATGTCTTTCTTGTATTGGAGTGGATGTGGTATTTACAACTGGGCATGGTAGCCCAGATGTGCTCTAACAGTTGCTGGGTAAAAGATAATAATATTATCTCTTTGTGTTCTTGAAAAATATTACAATTAAGAAACCAAGAAAAGCATGAAGCAAATCTGGAACATATTTAGTTTCTTTTATATCTGAAGTGAATACGTTCTCATCTGTGTCAAGCACTCTGTGGTAAGCCCTGTCACCCTTAACCTAAGAAATCTTTCCCTGAAAAAGTCAGCACGTTTTCTGCCTTTGTTTTTTTTTTTTTTTTTTTGCTCTTATTTCACAAAAATTCATAATGCCTGGAAAAAAACCTTTTTAAACTTGCAGTGTGAAGAACAAAGAAAAGATTAATAGAATTTTTAAAAAAGCAAAGTAAACCAAAATGAAAAGAAAATCAGCAACTGACTCACCACGGAATGTTTTTGCTCAAAGTATCTTATCCAAAGCATAATATAATTCTGTAGTTTGAGGTAGATGAATAACAACAATACTTGGGGTTAAGCTAATTAGGATAAAGTTCATGTGTGGGTTTGCACATCCCAAGTGCTGGAAGAGATGCAACTGTATTCTTTCGTTGAATTTTCTTGTGGGTTTGTAATTTGGAACAGTCTTGTTAAGAGGGTTATAGCACTTTACAGTAGATAGGGAATTCACTGCCAGAGAGTGTGTTGAATTTTCTTAGATAAGAGCTCTGCCAGAGGGGCAGGAACCAGAGATCACAGACTGTGGAAAACACAGAGATCACAAGGATTGTTGGGTATCAAATAAGCCATTCTAGGGTTGTGTGCTCTCAATAAACTACTGTCCAGACCCCTTTCATTCTTCTTACACATGCTTGCTGGCTTTGGGATAGCTTACGAACATCCCACTCTGCCTCCTGTATGTTCTGTACCTTAGTACAGAATTAGAGATACCTCCTGTATCACTAATATCTCCTGTATAGAGAATTAGATTAGAGATACCTCCTGTATCTTCTGTACCTTATGAATATTCTTAGTTGAACTGAAACATAAATGATTCTATCATCCTCATAAAGAACACAGGGCTGAGGACCCAGGTTTTTTTCTGCACGATAATACTGTGCACCTCTTCATGCTTGTATGGAACTGCTGAATCATAGCCTCAACCTCTGATTGACCACCTGAGGTGAGCAATGAGTCAGCCCTGGGAGCACAGGTAGGTAATTCACGTGTGCTGCTGGAAGGGGTGGAGCTTCTGGCTGCACCTCTCCTAGACCCATTTAAGAGCTGACTACCAGTGGGGAAGGATCTCTTTTGGAAATTACTCCTCTTGCAGTTTTCTCAGTGAGCCCAGGACAAGGGTAAGCTTTCCATCTATTCTTCTTTGGTGTGATAGCCTGTTTAGCCTAACTTCCTGTATATTTCTTAATTATAACATCTGTATGTTCACTGATTATATAACATTGAAGTCTTGTTTTAGATTAAAAAAAAAAAAAAAATCTTCCTTTTTTACATCTCACTACTTCTATCCTTCTTTTATCATTTTCATCCTCCACTTTCCCCTTATTTCCAAGTTCTCCTGTATGGCTTTTGTTTTGATCTGTTTCTTTTCATATTGCTGGTGTTATGCTGCTGCACTGCTGCCCTCTTTATCACTTGTTCCCATAACTGATGGCTTTATCATTGAGTTCAGAAACCCTTGTAACCTTCTCCAAGCTTCATCTTTTAAAATTAGTATGCTTCAGTGGTTATGCACTTGTATTAGTAGGTTATGCTAGGGAATATTTAGCACAACAACAGAAATTGCTGCCCACAGATATTTTTGGGGGCATGCACTACAGTTGTTACATTGTTGATAAGAGTATTCTAAAGAGTAAGTCTTAAATACAGTATTAAGAGAATGACTTTAATAACCACCTCTTCCTACAGTACAACGTTATCATGAACCAAATATTAACAATAATGAATGAGACTTTAGAGATTGATAATGGTCAGTGGTTTAGTGAAAGTACAAGCACACATATAATCAGTCAGGGTAGGTATGATGGTTTTATTCACTAAAGAGAATGGAGTTCAGCCCAGTTCTGGGCTCTCCAGTACTAGACAGTTGTGGACATGCTGGAGAAAGTCCAAAGAAGGTCATCAAAGATGAAGAAGGGCTTGAAGCATGTCTCTTATGAGGTAAATCTGAGAGACTTGAGACTGTTTAGCCTGAAGAAGGCTCAGTGGGATCTTTTCAGATGTCTATAAATGCCTGAAGAGGGATGTGTAAAGAAGATGGAACCATACTCTTTCTCTTGGTACCCAACTACCAAGAAAAAAGGCAGTTGACTGAAGTTCTATCTGAACATCAGGATGTACTCAGGATGCACTTGTTTACTGTATGGATGGCTGAGCACTGGCACAGATTGCCCAGAGGGGCTGTGGAGTGTTGTCCTTGGAGATCTTCAAAATCTGTTGAACACAGTCCTGGACAACCTACTCTAGATGGTTCTGTTTGAATGGGGGGGGTGGGAGGGAGGAAGGTTAGATTAGATGACCTCCTTCTTCTGACCTTAATTAATCTGTGATTCTGTGATCCTTCATTATTGTCCTAACATTGAGAGATTTTTAAGAAAATTTTTGTTCTTTACTACTTTTCTGGTAAAGCTAGTGAGGAATATATCATATAGTTGGAGTCAACTATTTAAACGTTGTGTAATCTGAAACTTCTGAAGAGGAAAATGAGGCAAGACCATCAGGATAAAAGTGATTGCTGTTTTCACCTTTGGAGCAAGTATGTGAATGTCACAGTAGCCACCCACTAATGCTGATGTGAAATTACAGCTACAAAATGGGATGTCTAATAGCCAGTGATTAAGGAAAGTAAAGACTTTGTTGTTGTTGTTGTATCATTCTATCACCAAGAAAAAAAAAAATGCTTTCATGATGCCAGCACCTGGAGTAAGTGTCTATTTGCAGGAAATAGAAAACTGAGTTGCTTAAAATAAATTATCTAACTTCTAAAATGTTTTTCTGTCTTGTTTTGATATTCAAACAGTGGAAGCTCTACATTTGGGAACGCTGATGGCAGCACATGGTTATTTTTTTCCAATCTCAGACCATGTTCTAACACTAAAGGATGATGGCACATTTTATCGATTCCAGGTGAGTGTTTTTGAGATGTTCTTGACTTGTACAAAGGCAGGCACATGTTAAAGACCTCACACTAAGGTTTATAGTAAATTTTAACAATACTTTCTCTCTTATGTAACCTAGTAAATGGTAGCAATTCCTCTTAAAGTTAAAAATGGTAGAAGGATTTAATTTAAAAAATGAAGACAATATCTTGTACTAAGATGATAATGACCTTTTAAGCCCCTAGATTCAGTAAATGTGATAATGAAAACTGTAGAAGAATTTTGGAAGTGTAGTAAAGGAAATGAAATTATCTTGTAGACTATGATTCCTAAAATTGTCTTAATTTAGAGGGGGAGTTTTTTTTTCTTATTAAGCCTGTAGAAGAGATCTGATTAAAAATGAAGCGTAATGTAGATAGTCTTCCTTATGTGATGATTTCCATGTAGAATCAAAGAATCGTAGAATCAAAATCCTTAGAGTTAGGAAGGACTGTCAGAGGTCATCTTGTGCAACTCCTGTGCAACAAACAGACATGCTGAAGTAAATCAGGAGCCTGATCCAGCCTCGCTTTGGAAGTCTCCAGGAACAAGGCATCAATTGCATCACAGGGGAGCCTGTTCCAGTGCCTCACCACCCTCACTGTAAAAGTCTTTTTCCTTCTATTCAACCTAAGTCTACCCTCTTCGAGCTTCAAGTCATTTCCCCTTGTTCTATAACATCAGACCTTGCTAAAGAGTCTGTTCCTTTCTTTGCTGTAGCTCCCCTTTAGATACTGAAAGGCCACTGTCAGGTTACCTGAGAGCCTCGGTTACTTCTGCTGACTGTAGAGCCCCAACTCTCGCAGCTTGTCCTTGTAGGAGAGGTGTTCCATTCCTTTGATAATTTTTGTGGTCCTCGCTCCAACAAGTCAATGTCTCTCCTGTATTGAAAACTCCACATCTGAATGGAGTCCTCCAGGTGAGGCCTCACCAGTGCAGAGTAGAGCGGGAGGATCACCTCTGTTGACCTGCTGGCCATGAATCTTTTGATGCAGCTCAGGATACAGCTGGCTTTGTGAGCTGTGAGGGCACACTGCTGGATGACATCCAGCTTCCTGTCCACTAATACTCCCAGATCTTTTTTGGTAGGGCTGTGCTCAGTGCTTTCTTCCCCCAGCTTGTATTGGTAGAGAGGGTTGCCTCGACCCAGGTGCAAGATCTTACTCTTGGATATGTTGAACCTCATGAGGTTCACCTGGGCCCCCTGCTCAAGCCCATTTAGGCCGTTCTGGATGGCATCCCATCCTTCTGGTGTGTTGACTGCACCCTGGAGCTTGCTGTCATCAGCAATTGAGCTTGCTGAGGCTGCATTCAGCTGCTCTGTCAGTGTCACTGAAGAAGATATTAAAGAGTATTGGTCTCAGCACTGTTCCCTGTGGGACACCACATTTTTAAATGAGAGGGATGGCGTATGGATGAAGGGGCTTACTGCTGAAGGAAAGGGGTTAATGTGGTTGTGAAGTAAGCAAAAAGTGGAAAGAAATCATGAAATAGATAAGGCTTCAGTTTCTGGCTCTTCCCCATAAGCAGTGGTAAGGAGGACAAAGTATCTGAGAATTTCCTTTGCAAAGAATAGGACAAATAGGGGTGCTGAGCATTGAATTCTGTATTGCTACTAGTGTAGTAATGTTTCAAACATGAGAAAACATCACCTCTGCTAGCATGATATTTCTTTTGAAGGAAAGTGCAGGTGAATATTAGTTGCACTGTGGACAGCTGAGAGTATAAGAGTATAACTGAGCTATACGTGTTCCCCATTCACTTCATTTTTAATGTTCCAAAGGATGACGCATTCACTCCTAACAGTAAAATTACTTCCAGTTTGTTTTAAACAAGCTACTGTTGTATAAAAGAAGCTAAAAGCAGTAGCAATTGTGCTTTATTTGCACAAATGCCCTTCTACAGGCAAAATTATGCTTTTTCAGTTATTACTCTTGCAACCACGGTGGCTGTAAAATTTTAGCTTTATCTTCTCTTTTAAACAATGTGGCTTTAGAAATAAACAATCCTAATCATTCTTTTTACTTACTTTGTTTTAATTGGGTCAGTTCCTGCTATAGCAATTTAACTCAAAGGGGATAGATCTAAATATTATTTACCTTACATGGAGAGAGGTGAGCTTTTGTGTCAACAAAGCAAAGTGGAAGCTTAGGTTTAGTGATACTTTTTGAACCACTCTGAACGTAAGGCATATTGCCTTTGCATGTTATTTAAAGCTGGGGCCAAAGAATATCTACTACCTACCTTCCTGCACTCAAAGGCTAATATGTATGAGGGGTTTAAATAAGAAGAGCAAGGTGCACCTTGGAAAGATCTTCTAGGGACCAGGCATTACCCACTGAGTGCATTTCATCACTATCCACATAGCTGATAATATGGCTGACCTGGTGAGGAATGCTTGATTTAACCTTTCAGCTGCTATGCTTCTGTAATTGCTTCCTGGGGAAAGAGTGTAGTGTTTTTTTTTTTGTTGTTTTTGTTTTTTGTTTTTTGTTTTTTTTTTTTGTTTTTTTTTTTTTTTTACAAACTACATACTCAGTATAGGGTCTTTTAACATTCATAATGAAAGTAGTGTTTTTTAATACTTCTTGTTTTTTAAACCAACTCCTAGAATATTCAGGCTTTTGGTAATCACGCGTTTTTTAAGAGATTGAATTTTCAGAGATAAGGCTCAGGTTCTGTTATTTTATGACTTTTAAGTTTGGAGGCATACATAGGTGAGAACAAATGTGGAAATGGGAACAAAACTTTTTGTTGTGAAAGTTTGATTCTGGTGAAGATAGTAGCAAAATTCATGGTTTTGGCAAGATGGTTTCATCTGTGATGTCTTCTACCACTGTGACACTTTATTTGATGAATACATTTAACTCTCCAACTTTGTTTTTCCTGTATCTGTAGTGGAAATTATATATAGCAGTCATTGTAGGGATCTTTTAATATCTGTTGCAAAACAGTGTTACTGCCAACATCACTGAGTCACCCTGCTCAGCTAACCACCTCAGGACTCAGTCATAATCTGGTGTCTGTTTGTTTAAGTTATGTTTGAATATCTCAGTTCTCTAGCTATTGTCCACTGTCTTGTTGGATCATCTGTGCCTTGAGAGAAGCATTTTATTGGAAGTCAAGTTTTGCAATAAAAAAGAAGTTATCTTATCCACACTTGACAGATTTTGTTTGGAAATTGCAAGTGCAAGAACTAATTCGTTGTCTCTTCAGTTCATATGCAGCATATGCAGGTGCAGTTGAGATTTCAAAGAGGGAAAAATCATTTCAAAACCATTTGTCTTCCTGACTCAGTGCCCTTTTTTCTCTTTTTTTTAAATCTGCTCAGGCACACTTTTACATCCTGTGATTCTTTGAGAAAAATCTTCTTTCTTTGAAGGTGATAAAACACTGAAATGGGCTGCCCAGAGAGGTTGTGGAGTTTTCTCTGGAGATCTGCCTGGATGCTTTCCTTTGTAGCTGACTGTAGAGATTAGCAGGGAAGCTAGACAAGATGATCTCCAGAGGCCCATTCCAAGCCCTATGATTCTGTGTTTTTTTGTAATATGTGAAGTAAGGTTTATGGGTGATTTGAATATTCCTCCCATGTTCCAGTTACTGAATTAAAGAAAATGTCATGGAGTGGAGCAGCTTCAGAAACAATTCTTTTTACTACTATCAGCAATGGTAGCTGAAAGATGCTTAATGGTTTATTTCTGCAGTAATACAGTTTAATGCATAAAAATTAATCATGCTCTATAAAGGCTGACAGGCAACACTAATTTTTCACAAGTTGCTGTTTCATTATTTCAAATATTACTATTGATTAATTTAACAGTAAAGCCAAAACAGATCTATTTGTTTTATCACAAGATGTCTCACCATGCATAACAGCCACTTCTAACAAATTGTTTTGCGTGGAATAGGCACTATGTTATGAGATTTTGTTTCATGTGACTTTATTAAAAGGAGGATTATGGATTTCTGTGGTTCATATTGGCTTATAAGTCTATACTTCAAGAGAAACAGAGTGCTTTTTTTCTTGAGTGCAAAACCAGTGCTCTGCCAATGGTCACGAAGAACCTTATGACAGCCTGTTCTGTCCAGAGTGCTTAACTGGTTCCACGGTAGCACATATTGTTTTTGGTAAGCCTCTTTTCTCTAGCTGCTTACTGGTTGCTTATTCAAATTGCAGATAAAGTTAAACAAAGTGCCTTATCAGTGCATACTGATAAAAACTGGCAGCGTTGTTTCTGCCTGCACTGATAAACAGTACTTGAGTTTCTCCAAACTGTTCTACCACCCACCTTCCTTCCGGCTATAAGTGGGATGTCATGGCAAAATGACAAGTGTTCCCTCTTTAATACTTGTTCATGACGAACTGCTTCACATTTCCTGCTGAGGAAAAGTAAAATTCCATCAGGTTTTCTACATTTCACAAAGAAAGCTAGTTGATATTTTATAATTTTGCCTTTGAAAATGGTCATGTGGTATAAAATATTGTAACTGAACATCTGAAACCCTCCTGGGGAAGGTGTTTGCCTATGCAGATTTCTAGATCTTGAGACAAGGTACATTGGTTGTGTAATGATTGTATTATAGGAATATGTGGTACTTAATGGATGTTGTAATAATACTACAATATTCTCTGAATATAATTTGTAAGAAATAGTTAAACCAATCTTTGTTAGCATTCCCCAGGTACAGATAAGTTCATTTATGTGGGCAAAGTCTCCTTGCATGGCTCTAGGGCTGTTTTAGTAGGTCAGAGAGAGCAGCCAGCTTTCCTCTTTGCACACACTTGCTCTTCTCATTCCTAACCTCATTCCTTGAGACCAGAGATCTTTCTATTGATATTTTCTTACTTCCTAGTCTTTCTTTGTTGAGTAAGGTAAAAGCATTGTCACACAGTCTTCATAGATACACTCTCCAGCAAATTCTTCTATGGAGTTATTAGATATCTGGATTGTGAAACTACGTAAAGATTTCTGGAACAGAAGAGAAAAATGGGAACTCTTCCCTTATGTTACAGAAGTGGAGGAAAGCAGCCATGTGTTATGTGCATGAACTGAAAAACATAAGATGTAAGGGACAAAGTAATACTCCAGACGTCTGTTGTGTTTTCTTGATGTTTGGTTACTTGTTTTTTTTTGTTTTTGTTTTTTTTTTTCTAGAAAAATTAGGGTTTTTAATCGCCATAGAACCATAGAATGGTGTGGGTTGGAAGAAATATTAAAAATATCTAGTTTCAAATCCCCTGCCACAGGCAAACTTGCCATCCACTAGATCTGTCTGCCCAGGATCCTTGTCCAACCTTGCCTTGAATACTTCCTGGAATGGACCATGCACAGTTTCTCTGGGTAACCTGTTCTACTACCTCACCACCCTCTGAGTACAAAAAAAACAATTCCAACTGACATCCAAATCTAAATCTCCCCTCTTTTATCTTGGAGCCATTCCCTCTTGTCTTGTTGCTGTCAGACTGTGGGTCTCTGTCTTGAGACCCTCAGTCTCCATCTTTGTGCTGGCAGGAGCCTGTGTGGCACTGAGGCTGAGGACTATAGCTGGAGAGCAGAGATAGCAAGGATCTACCTGGTGCATCACACAGCCAGCCTGAATATGGCTCATTGACACCCATTCCCATGAAAGCAGAATGTATTCTAATTACTGAATTGTACTATTGTGGAAGTCTTGTGATAAGGTATCTCTTTGGATCTTTTCCCAGCTAGCTTTTCTTCTATTATAACCACTTTTCAAGAAGCATTCCACTTTATCCATTGTGCATGACAGATGGCAAGGTAGATTAAGACCAGAACTTCATGATTGATAATACCAAACAGTTAAGCAAGAAAACGTTGCATACATCTTTGGGAAAATGTCAGTCATTTCATCTATACACAAGTTTATTGTTGTTTTTTTTTTTTTTTTTTTTTCACAGAAACAAAGAATTATAAAAGTTCTTTAATAGAATCTGACTTGATATCAAGTTCCATTACCAGTATTTATGCTATTTTAAGTGTGGGTTTTGGATTTTCTTTCTAAGTTTTAATCTTGCCCTCTATTGTCTTTTTTTTTTATGCCAGGCCTTAGGAGAATTTCTCTCATCTTTACCTCCACCAGTGCCATTTCCTGCATTGAAAGTGAATAACAGTTATCTAATCTTTGTTTTGTGCTTTGTTTTCTATGAATAAACCGACAGCTTACTCATGTGAAAATATGATTTCTGTTCTGCATTCTGTTAGGTATTTTATCAGGCCTCAATCTGATCTCATATAGTATTTTTTTCTTCCTTTTTTTTTTTTTTTCTCCTTGTACTTTATCCTGTAGTCTTGTCTTCATATCAAAATTAATTTGGGGCATATTCATGTGGCTGGTTGTGAGGAGACTTGAACTTTGTTCCCACTAGGAGCCTGCTGGCTTGAGGCTAGCCCTGGCCACCTTGCAGTACATTGCTGTTGAGCTGTGCTTCTCAGCAGGTCCCAGTGAATGTATTCAAGCACTATGCAGACAAGGTCACAGCTTGCAGCTGGGAGGCTGCTTGTGCCTGCCTAGTTGAGAGCTGCAACAAGGAGACCTCATACCTGCTTTTTATTCCCTGGCGGAAAGGTTCTTGTCTTTCACAGTCACTTTCCTTTTGGAGGCTCAAACAAGGAACACGTTTCTGTGCTTATATGTACTGTTATGTGAACCCCTTTCCCATGTTGCAGTATTTTCTTTGTGGTTCTTTTGGCTAACCTTACAACACATTATAAAATCTTCTATAGGGATTTATTATGTACTTTGCTAATTAAAGTGTATGTTTTATCTTATTGTTTTTATCTCCAAAGGGATGATGGCACGGGAGTTCTTAGACTCCTCCTTACAAGCATACATATTCTTATTTGCTTTCTGAATGATTTTTTTTTGAGTTTAGCTAGTTGGAGATTGCTGGTGTGATTTTACTGGTTTGTCTCTGTGCTTTCTCTCTAAAGGTAACTGAACACTTAGTAAGGTCTCTTTCCATAACTGTGATCTCCCTTCCTCCTCTTCATCCCTCAGTTAAGTTTCCCAAGGGACCTTGCATGCCTAACATAAGCTCTGCAAAGAGACTTTCTTTGACACTGGCTCATAATGTAATGGGTTTGGGTTAAATTCAGAAGACAATTTATTTTTCAAGTATCATCGGGGGGGGGTGGGGGGGGGGGGATTGTTCATCTAATTTCTAAATAGAAATCCAAAGTTCTTATGGGAATTTTGCAACTATTTTCACAATCATAAGAATCTTTGACTTTCTACTAATGAAAAGGCTCTTTTGCTGTATCTTTTTCTAGCCCTGCTCCAGCATAGCTTGCTTCTGTTTCACAAACAATATCTGAACTCTAGCCAGTTTCAGCTCAGAGCCTCACCAGAGTGGGTGAGGTTTCTACATACTTGATATTTCCCCTTGTTGGATTCTTCCTTGATAAGTTTAGTTGGACAAATGAAAGCAGATTTTGTTGAGCTTTTCCTCTTAGGTGCCTCCTAAAATGCAATTTGTGTCAAAGGAAGGAGTGCTCTCTCTCCCCAGGTCTGAAAACTTAAATAAAAGTAACTTTATGCTTTATGTGATTTATATGGTTAGATTATTTTTATACCTTCTTGCTTCTCAAGTGTTTTCTGACTGCTACTATTTATTGCTGAGGAGTTTACTTTCTATTTCCATCTGTCCTTATAGTGCTCACTTCTAGTGGCACAATGAAGGAATAGTTTGTAGGAAGAATGACTTATTGCTTCTCCATTAGAGAGAAAGAAAAACTGGCAAGAAACTTGTCTCAACCTTCAAAGTTAGTTTGTGATTTTATTTTTTCATCCTTTAGCTCATTGTTATTACTTAGTAAAAAGCAAGTCTTAAATTGCAGTTATTAAAGTTGATAGGCCATTTTTACAATGGAGAGATTTTTCACAATGTATGTTTAACCTGATAGTAGGTGTAAATGTGTCACCCTTCAGTCTTGTTGATTTCTGGATAAACATTAAAACAATTTCAAGATAAGTGGGCAGCAAGAGGTTTCCATTTGTGTAGCTGAGGGATCTTTGAGGAAAAAACAACAGGAAAGAGAGAGTGAAGCAGAAAGTGAGCCCAAGGAGGTATCAGTAGTTTGAAATACATCTGCTCTTACTAGTCCACATATATTTAGTTAGGTTAAGACAACTTAACAAATCATATGTAATTCTTGTGGGCAGATATTTATACTTAATGCGTTATTTTATATATATCACAATCATTTAAATTTTCACTAGAAAGTTAGGTTTTTAAAAATTAAGTTCTTGGTGTGAAAAATCCTTGTATTGTTTTATATTCTTCATTTGATAGACAAGAAATGTTTTAGCAATGCAATTTGCAGTTTTCATTATCAGTGTTAAACTAGTTATTGGCTTTCCATTAAGAAATCATATTTTAAATGATGTTACATACTTAGAAAAAAAGTAGATTTCCATAAATGAAAACAAATTTGAGAACTCTGAAGACCAGATATGCTAACTAACATTTTTTAACAAATAGCTAGAAAACAGTACTGAATATTAACATACAACAAAGAAAACTCTCCACAATGAAGAACGCAGTGTGTCCAAAAGTATGCTCCATCTTTTCTGCTTCTAAAACCGATTCTTAGGTCATGTGATGAGTATGTTGCTAGGGAAGATGGAAAAAATACCTCACTACATAACCTTGTTTTTTGTTCCCTTAACTTTAAAAATAAAAAGAACACATTGTTCTTCTTTTCAATGCCATTCTGACACTAGTGCAAAAAATGAGCATACAAAAGTAATTTTCTATTTTGATGCCTATTTCAAAATCATCACGTTAATATTATAGTAGATCTGCCAAAAATGTGAATCAATTTTGAGAAATTGTATCAATCCAAGAACTGTATAATGCTTGCATTGTCTAACTTGAATTCCCTACTTTTTTGTTTTGTCTATAGACGCCCTATTTTTGGCCTTCAAATTGTTGGGAGCCGGAAAACACAGACTATGGTCAGTGTGGAAATCTTTCCTCTTTATTTTGGGAATTATGTATTATATAAATGAACATATCGTTGCAGTCTATCTTGTTTAATCATTCCACTGTTAAAAGCGTAATTAATGTCATGTAATTCCTGTGCAATACTTGCTGATATTGAAACAAATATGTTGTTACCCTTTTCAAAGTTTATTAAAGCAGAAGTCAGATTTGGTGTTAATTTGATGGGGGGAAAAAATAATCCCCAAAGGGCATCCAATCTATTTTACTATTTATATTTTCTATTTGTGTCAGGAAGTGTAATCACTTGCAATGATAAAGTCTTAGTGCAGCAGTACACATTTTATTGATAGTTCTGCAATAGTTGTTCTCAGATTTGGACCCAAAAATGTAATGAGTTTAGGTCTCTTATTTTTGATATGTGACATGTAAAATTATTTGCTATAGTTCTAATATGAAGTGCATTAGAAAATACCTTGTTTGCTTCCCTATTTTTTGGTTTCCTATTCATAACTTGCATGCAACAGTTACTGATGTGCACTTAGACTTGCAAAAAATCCTTAGGCTAAGCTTTTCAAAAACTGATAACCATATTGAAATATCTCTGTACAGCAAACAATAACCTAGTTTTTTCATTAAAAAAATTATCTATGTAGTTTCCATTCCAGTGCAGGCTGTAAGTACTCACTTCATCTGACGGCAGAGTCACTTATTTAGGGTACTAAGCACATACATGATGGCTTACCTTTAAAAACAAACAAAAAATCAAAAATCTTTTGGAAATTTAGGTAGGTTTTCACTTGTAAGGTAAATTCCGTCTCAGTGCTTGGGAGCTGAAAACTGTAGGGTTGTTGTAAGGATATGTCCTGTTTTCAGCTGGGACAGAGCTGATTTTCTTCATTTTGTCTGGTATGATATTGAGTTTTGATTTTGTCCTGGTTTATCAGTATTCCATGTTAGGAGAAAAATAATGTTTAAACACACCAATGTTTTAGTTGTTGCTTAGCAGTGCTGTACAGAGCCAAAAGCATTTCAGTTTCTCAGCTTTTTTTGTTGTCCTGTCAGCAAAAAGACTGGAGGGCACAAATCGCTGCACAGAAACAGGTCAGCTAACCTAAACTGACTGAAGAGACAATCCTCTGTGTATTGAAAGGGGCAGGAAAACCCATTTCATAAATACATGGCTGAGAGGCTGGTGCAATTGCAAACACTTTATTTTATTTATTTATTTATTTATTTATTACTGTGGGGCGGTTTACTCAGCCTGATGTCTGTTGATGGATCGCACCTGTCTCAAAGCAGGAAACAGATCCTAGCCCTAGAACTGGCAGGGTTTGTTGAGAGGGCTTTAAACGACTTATGAAGGGGGAAGGGGATAAAACCAGGCCTCCTAGAGAGGAGTCTAGGGGAATAATGACAGGACTAGAGATGAGGCAAGCTGCTCAGCTGAAGTGCATCTGCACTAGTGCAAGCAGGAGGAGCTGGAAGCCATATTGCAGCACACAAGCTATGACTTAGTTGCCATTATGGTAACTCCTGAAGTGCTGCAGTGGAGGGCAACAAGCTCTTCAGAAGGGACAGGTAAAGAAAGAGGGGTGGTGATATGGCTCTCCATGCTAAAGAGTGTTTTGATGTTGAGCTTAGGGCTAGAATGATATGGTTGAATCACCATGTGGAAGGATCACGGTGAGGACCAACAGGGTGGGCACCTTGATGGAGGTCTGTTATAGACCACCTAACCAGGATAAAGAGTCTTATGGGGCATTCTACAAACAGCTGGCAGAAGTTGTGTGATTGACAGCCCTTGTTCTCATAAGAACTTCAACTTCCTAGCTATATTCTGGAAATACAGTACAGCGCAGAACAAGCAGAAGTTAACTTCTTGACGCAGCTGATAAGAGAACCTACCAGTGGACATGCCCTGTCAGACCTGCTGTTCACAAACAGAAGTGGACTAGTTGGAGATGGAGAGGCCAGGATCTGTCTTGGACAGAGTGACCATGAGGTGGTAGAGTTTTCAATTCTTGGTAAAGTCAGGACTGGGGGCAGCAAGACTACTACCTTGGACTACAACACTGGAACATGTTGCCCAAGGAGATTGTGGATGTCTCATCCCTGGAGGCATTCAAAACCAGGCTGGATGTGGCTCTGGGCAGCCTGGTCTAGTGGTTTGCAACCCTGCACATAGCAGATGATCATCATTGTCCTTTTCAACCCAGGTCATTCTATGATTCTATGACTTCCGCAGGGTGGACTTTGAACTGTTCAGGACGCTGGTAGGGAGAGTTCCTTGGGATTCAGTCCTGAAGGATAAAGGGAAGGAAAGCGGGTAGCTCTCAAGAAGGAGAGCTAATGGTGCTCTCCCTTGAGCTCTCCTCAAGAAGGAGAGCTAAAGGAGGTCCTAAAGGTGCAGGAGCAGGCTGTCCCCCTGAGCTGCAAGGTGAGCTAGAAGGGAAGAAGACCAGCATGGATGAACTGGGAGCTTTTCCTGAGGTTCCAGGAGAAAAAGAGAATCTACCTCCTGTGGAAGAAGGGATGGACAATTTGGGGAGAGTATAAAGAACTTGTTAGGATGTGCAGGGAGAAAATTAGAAAGGCAAAAGCCCAGCTTGACCAGCTTTACCCCAACTTGGCTGTTGAGGGAAGAGAGGAAAAAAAAAACTTTTTTATGATGTATTAGCAGTAAGAGGAGGACTTAGGAGAGCCTTCATCTTTTACTGAATACTGCAGAGATTGTGACCACTGAGGATAAAGAAGGTGTTGAGAACCTCAGCCTTTCCTTACATCTGTCTTTAAAATTCATACCAGTTATCACTGGGATACTCTACCCTCTGGCCTGGAAGTCTTGGGTGAGGAGCAGAATAAACTTTCCACTATTCATAGTTTTTATTTCAAACTACCGGTTCTGCTTGCTAGATTGAACCTCAAGATGATGGATGGTTCCCATGGACGCTTCTTGCTTTTCCAGAGCTCACAAAATTTGATTTAAAATGTGCTGCTACATAAAACAATTTCAAACTGAGACTCTCAGCAGAGATGAGTACCTTCAAGGGAGAGTTCGAAAAATGTACCAGTTTCCTCATCCTATAGAATGAGAAAAATATTAATCTTATAAAATGCTGATATTTGAAGATTTCCTGCAAGTAGTTATCAAAGGCTATGAAGGAAGTATAGTTCATACTGCACCTGAGTGATTAGCCACTGCATATGAGGGAGTTAATCACTGAAGGAGGAATACTTGATTTACTAGTTATTAAAATGTTTTTTCTTTTCTTGAAAGTTATTTGTTTTCCTCACAGGAGCCCTTCAATGTAGTCTCCTAATGTTAAATACCAGAAAGTAATTTGCTGTAATTCTAAGAGACATTTGAGTTCTTCAGCTGTAGTGTGTATGACATTACTGGGGGAATTTGAATAAGCATATACTTAACACACCTGAACTCATGGTTAGTCTGAGGAGATTTCCTTTTATGTCCTTTAATGAAAATTGTAAGAAACTAACTTTCTAGATGTAGCTTATTACTGGACTGATTGCCCAGTCCAATAATCCAATATATCGAATAGTCCAATATATCGAACAGAATTACGTGTACAAGTTTGTGAACAGAATTCTGATATAAACTGTGTAGTCTTTTTCATGTCAGAAATACAGAATTTAACTTGAGATCAGATTCTAACCCTCATTGAGCAGTAAGACTACTGGCTTGAGAGCCCTTGAGATTCAGTGTAAGACCAGTATAATAATTTCCAGTTGGTGAATTTAAGTTCTGTTCCAGTGGGGTGAAGGAAGGAAAAGCCCCAACCCTGCCATCTCATTGCTCCCTTCAAATCATGAGACAAAGATGAAAGCCTGTAAGAAATCTGCCCAGTGATTGCACTGGATCTAACTGTGGAATCTGTGTGTTGCCAGAAATGACTAAGGCTAGAGCATTAACAGGAAAGTAGTCTTTTAAGGCTACTTTTCAATAACATTTTTATTGGGTTTGCATCTTCCCAAACTCAGAAGTTAGCCTTTGTTTTGTAGCCTGAGGTTTTTTTGTTTTTTTTTTTTCCCTAATGGCTTTCTGTAAATAGAAAAGACAGGGGGAGAACAGAATACAGCTGTTTGCAGAAAGGATCACATCTCTGTTGTAAACAAATGGTCATTAGAAGAATAAAGAAAACTCAAATAAATAATATTCTAAAACCCAAAGAAGGATAGAAATGATTTGATGACTTTAAATTTCATCACAAACACACTCCAACAAGGTTCTGCAGATTTTTCACAGTAATTGTTACCTACTAGAAAATAAAATAGATTTTTTTCTATTGCAGGTACATAAATGCATTTAGTACTTGTCACATATTACAGTGCTGTGCATTGATTCTGTTTTCATGGGTATATCCTGAACAAACTTGAATTTCTGCCTCCTAAAACAAATTAATGGCAGGAATTAGGTGTTTTTGAAACGAGAAAACAAAACAAAAAATCTACTTTCTGTGTAATCTTCCTATATCAAAGAAAACAAAAAAAAAAACCAAAAAAAAACAACACTTTCAATGGGACTGATCTAATTTTGCAAGTCTATTAAAGCACACTACAGCTTTATTTTAATTTAAAAACTATGCCCCGCCCTTGATGTTTACTCACCTATAACTGGACTGCAGTCCAGAATATAAAATACAGCCAGAAAATATTTAATCTTTAATTAGAAATGAAACGAGTTAGAGCACATGATAGTTTATTACTGAAGCTAACTAAAAAAATAAATATCCTTACTACTTTATGAAGCGTGTTATCATCTCTGAGATAATATTGGTTGCCCTATATTAGCTTGTAAAAGAAAAGGCATTCATTAAAAATATATATGGAGAAAATGTGGGAAAAAACAGTGTTCCAAAATTTCAAGAAACTTCAAGCTAGTTCTACTCATAAACAATAGTGCATTGCTGTGTCTCAGTGACTAAAACAGGGCTTGGATTAATATAACAGATACAAAAGTGGAAGTGCGCAGCCTTGGTTTTGATTTTAACTA